TATATATTAAAAATATTTTTTTTGTAAATTTTAATTTTAATATAATTTATATATTTAAAAATATTTATTTATTATCAATTTTAGTTAAGTAAAATCAATATCTATCTTATACATTGCATTTGTTATATTACTAGTAAATGTATTGTGATATAATATTGGTTAGATATACTACGATGTGAAAAATATTTATATTGTGATATAATAGTATAATGAGAAATATTAAAATTTTAACATGATATTAGTATAAAATATTTATTAGTGACATTTTTAATCATGATTAATCTTTGTTAAAGATTTTGAGCACATACAAAATACAAAATTTTCTCTTAACATAATTTATTTATACTAAAAATAAGGATTCAAAATCATTATTAACACTCTCTAATACTCTTTCTCTAACACTTTTCTAATGGTAGGACTAAAAATCTTTTTGTTTTAAAATAATAAATAAAATAATAACAAAAATTTGTTAAAATAAAATATCAATATCACTTGTCCATGTTTAACCTTTGTTATGTAAAAAAATAATTATAAAAAAAAAACTCATTAAGCTAGTAATAGTTATAATATCATAAACGTGATTAGTCTCTAACTTTATGAATTAGATATATTTATGATAGAATAAAAAAAAATTAAAAATTTATAAAAGTGTTTTTTTTTAATTTGTTATTGGGATTATCAATCTATTAAATATTGTGACTGTCCATGTATTCTCATATTTTCACATATTAAATACTTAATTTTATGGAGTAAAAAAAGTACTTTGTTTTATTTTATTTATTATTATTTTGTGTCTGTTGAAAATATAATAACGATAACAAAGTTAAAATCTAAAATTTTATACACTCAATTACACATTTTCATCACTAAGTCAATTTTAATAGACTTTAATATACTACTTGATTTTAATTTTATATTTAATTTGATTTAAGAACTAATCTAGACAAATTCTTTCTAAGAATATTGCTCAAGATCCATACTTAACAAAAGATAAACATAATATTATTTTTATAAAAATTCAAAACGTCATAAATTAATTTCACATATTTATATCCTTATCCTTATATACATATATATATATATATCCTATGATATTACTCTTATTTATCTTTTTTATTTTTATTTATTTATTTATTTATTCTACATCTATACACAATTAAGACATGATTATTAAGTTTTTACTATCCATTAAAAATTAATTGCTACCTTTGAAATTAATTATATGCAATTTATCAAACACTCAATCTTTTTCTTTTTAAAATCATTCCTTTTTTTGTAGGGTTTATTTTCTAATTATAAATATATATAATTATGTAACAGACTATCATTCTTCTCACATAATCTTATTAACTAAAAAAATTTATTCATTTGTACTTTATATTTGACAATGAAATCACAATAAAATTACTACTTTCAAAAAGCACGTATTTTCTTAAAGGATAATCTCTTTTGTGTATGCAATTTATATGAAAGAGTTCATTGCTTTTATATAAATAAGATTCGTTGTCTATGTCCTCCACATGCATTAATGTTCTCGATATGCATTTAACTCAAACTCATTCATATTCTACATTTGTCCAACTTTTCAATGAAGCACTCAATTACAAAAAAAAAGGTCACATTTTACATCTATCCATATTCCTAATGAAGCACTCATTCATATTCATCTTTAACTCCCAAACTTCTTATCCTTTCACCTTTTTTTTTCTTCTTTTGAATCAAAGTATATAGATTTTCCAATCATGAATAAACCAAAATTACCTTTGTTTAACCTTTTCTTCATTTTCACCGAAACTACCTACATTACTTTTATATTTTACGGTGTATTTCATTGTATATTATTTAAGCATATATTTATATTAAAAAAAGTGAGAATATGAGATGTTATTAACTTCAACAACTATAAATTGTCATTACTTAAACTCCAAAGGTTAGTGGAAGGTGATTATTTATTTGTCGATGAGATTATAAGTGGTAGATGATGAAGAAAATAACAAACGATGAAAAATGTAGGAGAGGGTAGTGTATATAATTTTTCTATGTAAAAAAAAAGTATTTAATTATTACTATTTAAAATATTTTTTAGGTTTATTTTTGTTGAATTTGAAGGTTGTAATTTGTTTGGTTAGGTTTTTGAGTTTTCAAGGATTAAGTGATCTAAGATCACATTTGATGTTACCAAAATACTTTTATAATTTAATTTTATGTGTATGTGTGTATAATATTAGTGGTTATGGATAGTAAAATGAACATGAGGATGCTAAAATAGTCTATTGAAAATGTAATTGAAAAGATGAAAAACATTGAGATTTGAAACATTTTCATAGGAAAATGATTGATTACTGTGCTATCTATACATAATAGGTTGTATTCGCCACTAAGGATACCAAGGAGAATCGAAGGAAAAAAACAGTTGAGCAATGCTTCACCTTTTTGTGTTGAATGATATTTCATTGGAGGACATGCATAAAGATATATGTGATGGTAATAATTTAAGAATTATTTTGAAAACTACAATTTCAGAACCTCATTAGATTTGTGCAATTGCAATCTATTTTCCTCCTTTTTATTGTAGTATTATTTTCCCTTGAGTTTATATTGTATTTGTTCGATATATTTTTTTTAAACAATTGATGGTTAAGAATAAAGGTAAACCTATTATTTGTACAATAATTACACCACATTTTGCAAGGAGACATAATGAGATATAAGACATTTTTTAAGGAATTATTTTTATAACAATTTATCTGGTGAGTTATTTGTTTTGATTGGATTTATGTATTTTGCATATTCCAAAAGCACACTATTATTTTTGTTCAAACTACTAATTTTTAAAGCATCTTTATTCATTACAACTTATTATCACATTAAAAAATTAATTTATATAATTTAAATAAATTTATATTAATTAATATATTCATAGTTTTGTACATCGCACGGATTTACAAATTAAAAAGTTAGAGTCTCGATTATAATTTTTTTAATTTAAAAATTTAACTAAATTTTTATAAAATAAAATAAAAACCAAATGATATTTTAAACTTTGCTGTTATTATAGATTCAGTACATCATTAGGTTCTTAAGTTTTTTAAGATATTTTTAATTGAGTGTATGAATTTTAAAAATTTTCTAACTGAGTATTTGAAATCAATTCTTAGCAACTTGAAATCTTAAAAAAACAAAAATATTTGCGACAATTTAACTACCTCTAAAGAACTAATTACAAATATCAAATACTTTATTAGAATTATTTTTAATTTAAAAACCTAATTTTAAAATTCTTAAAAATTTCATGAACGTATTAATACTAATATTTTAGTATGTACAAATGCACTAAATAAATATTTATTTTATATAATTATAATTTATAATAAATAAATAATTTAAATGTATAAATTATATTATAATTAAAATTCTTAATAAATATTTTTAAACATATAACTTATATTTAAGATTTCATTAATTATGTTATATCATAATAGAAGTTATCTTTAATTATTGATAACTTTTAAAAATATATTGAATTCAATATAAAGCTAAAAATAAAAATAAATAAATAAAAAATTGAGAAGAATATCTATAAATAAAAAAAAAAAACTCTTATCTTAGAAAATCAACTAAACATAATTTTATTAAAGAAAAAGTTATAAAAGAACTCTTTTGCAATTTAACTATTATAATTTAAATTTTTTTTATTTTTTTTTTACAAATTGAAGGAGCTATTTAACAAGTTTTTTTAGTTTAAGGCTTAAATTTTTTATCATATAATTTCGCAAATGAGTAAATCTTATTCATTTATTTTTATTACAAATGTGGTCTCCTATAATTAATATATTATAAAAAATGAATAAAATTCTACTTTAATAAATACATTTATTCAAAATTTATTAAAATAATTATTAAATATTATTGAGTTATCACAAAGTCATATCAGAATTTGTATTTTCAAGTTCAATATTCATTGTAATCATTAAAATCTTATTTTATTTTGATAAGCATATTTATATTTTTAATGTTCACTCCCACTCCAGCCAAAAAGTATCCTTCTCTAATTTTAAAGACTAATAAAAAGATCAAATTTATAACAAAAAAGGTTTGAAAATTAAAATGGTGTAAAAAAAGGAATGAAAATTAAAGTGTTAGTTTAATTTATCTAAACGTGATTCCAACCAAACACATGCACCTGAAACAGAGGTCCTTACCTACCCTCTGGTCATTCTTAGTGTTGTTTGTACCAACACATGATGTTATTGTTAATGTTTCCTTCTTCACTCACCAACCTGTGACCACCAAACCCATTCCATTCCTCAATCTCCAATGGCTTCCGCGCCCACCCATTTCTCTCTTTCCC